GTGTATGTGTATGTTCATAACAAACAAACAGTTCTCACCTGCAGTGTGTGTGTTCATAACAAACAAACAGTTCTCACCTGCAGTGTGTGTGTTCATAACAAACAGTTCTCACCTGCAGTGTATGTGTGTGTTCATAACAAACAAACAGTACTCACCTGCAGTGTGTGTGCTCATAACAAACAGTTCTCACCTGCAGTGTGTGTGTTCATAACAAACCAACAGTTCTCACCTGCAGTTTGTGTGTGCTCATAACAAACAGTTCTCACCTGCAGTGTGTGTGTTCATAACAAACAGTTCTCACCTGCAGTGTGTGTGTTCATAACAAACAAACAGTTCTCACCTGCAGTGTGTGTGTTCATAACAAACAGTTCTCACCTGCAGTGTGTGTGTGCTCATAACAAACAGTTCTCACCTGCAGTGTGTGTGTGTTCATAACAAACAGTTCTCACCTGCAGTTTTTGTGTGCTCATAACAAACAGTTCTCACCTGCAGTGTGTGTGTTCATAACAAACAGTTCTCACCTGCAGTTTGTGTGTTCATAACAAACCAACAGTTCTCACCTGCAGTGTGTGTGTTCATAACAAACAGTTCTCACCTGCAGTTTGTGTGTTCATAACAAACAGTTCTCACCTGCAGTTTGTGTGTTCATAACAAACAGTTCTCACCTGCAGTGTGTGTGTTCATAACAAACCAACAGTTCTCACCTGCAGTTTATGTGTTCATAACAAACCAACAGTTCTCACCTGCAGTTTGTGTGTTCATAACAAACCAACAGTTCTCACCTGCAGTTTGTGTGTTCATAACAAACAAACAGTTCTCACCTGCAGTGTGTGTGTTCATAACAAACAGTTCTCACCTGCAGTTTGTGTGTTCATAACAAACCAACAGTTCTCACCTGCAGTGTGTGTGTTCATAACAAACAGTTCTCACCTGCAGTTTTCTGTGTGTTCATAACAAACGACAGTTCAACCTGCAGTTTGTGTGTTCATAACAAACCAACAGTTCTCACCTGCAGTGTGTGTGTTCATAACAAACAGTTCTCACCTGCAGTGTGGGTGTTCATAACAAACCAACAGTTCTCACCTGCAGTTTGTGTGTTCATAACAAGCCAACAGTACTCACCTGCAGTTTGTGTGTTCATAACAAACCAACAGTACTCACCTGCAGTGTGTATGGAAACCCTGGTTTGAAATATTTCTTTGAAGGATTAAAATCCACTTGGTAATACGGGTGGGTGATAAAAGTGGATGTGTCCTCGTACACCTGTCTCTCTAGGGATGCACTTTCTGTGACCGTAGCCTTGACATACAGGCGGGTCTCTCGGGTGTACTCCAGGTTGCTAGGTAACAGTTGACCCACTTTGATGTCTTTGATGAATGATCCATTCTCCAGCTGGGAAAGGAAATGGTTTAAAACCAGACCACAATAACAAGCATAGTTAGTTAGCTGACAGATTATCCTCATTGCACGTCAAACCACTCAGTCCATAAGTGCTCGGATCCCCTCCTCAGTAAATCCTGCAGCGTGTAGTGGCTAATAACACCAGTTCTGTGTTGGTTTATTCTTCTTCTTTGGCTACCCGAGTAGTGTTCTTGTTTGGCGACACCTCGTTTAACATGTTTCTCTTGCAGTCTGACCATGGTTGCAGATTCACAGTTCTCAGCTGGTTCACGCAAACATTTAAGCTCTCTTAGAGCATTCAGTATATAAGCCTGATCCATGGCTTGTCCAGCTTTCACAGTAGCCTCACCTGCAAGCCTATCAGCTTGCTCGTTTCCTTGTACCCCCACATTCCCAGGCACGAAAATGAAACTAATCCTCGTCAGCCGTGAATTCTGTAGAGCCACCAACCACTGTCTTCGGACCCAGCCCTTCCCTATCTTCCTGAGCATAGTCAACATTTTCCACTGGTAAATAACTTAACGACAGTCAACATTTTCTGCTCGTAAATAACTTAATGACAGTCAACATTTTCTGCTGGTAAATAACTTAACAACAGTCAACATTTTCTGCTGGTAAATAACTTAAGGACAGTCAACTATTTCCACTGGTAAATAACTTAACGACATTCAACATTTTCTGCTGGTAAATAACTTAACGACAGTCAACATTTTCTGCTGGTAAATAACTTAACGACAGTCAACATTTTCTGCTGGTAAATAACTTAACGACAGTCAACTATTTCCACTGGTTAATAACTTAACGACATTCAACATTTTCTGCTGGTAAATAACTTAACGACATTCAACATTTTCTGCTAGTAAATAACTTAACGACAGTCAACTATTTCCACTGGTTAATAACTTAACGACATTCAACATTTTCTGCTAGTTAATAACTTAACGACATTCAACATTTTCTGCTAGTAAATAACTTAATGACAGTCAACATTTTCTGCTGGTAAATAACTTAATGACAGTCAACATTTTCTGCTGGTAAATAACTTAATGACAGTCAATTTTTTCTGCTAGTAAATAACTTAATGACAGTCAATTTTTTCTGCTGGTAAATAACTTAATGACAGTCAATTTTTTCTGCTAGTAAATAACTTAATGACAGTCAATTTTTTCTGCTAGTAAATAACTTAATGACAGTCAATTTTTTCTGCTAGTAAATAACTTAATGACAGTCAATTTTTTCTGCTAGTAAATAACTTAATGACAGTCAATTTTTTCTGCTAGTAAATAACTTAATGACAGTCAATTTTTTCTGCTAGTAAATAACTTAATGACAGTCAATTTTTTCTGCTAGTAAATAACTTAATGACAGTCAATTTTTTCTGCTAGTAAATAACTTAATGACAGTCAATTTTTTCTGCTAGTAAATAACTTAATGACAGTCAATTTTTTCTGCTAGTAAATAACTTAATGACAGTCAATTTTTTCTGCTAGTCAGTAACTACATGACAGTCAATTTTTTCTGCTAGTAAATAACTTAATGACAGTCAATTTTTTCTGCTAGTAAATAACTTAATGACAGTCAATTTTTTCTGCTAGTAAATAACTTAATGACAGTCAATTTTTTTTGCTGTTTAAAAAAGTATCTTCTCCATTATCATCATCCTCAAAATTATCTTCCTCTTATTAGCATGTTGCAGGGATTTCAATATCCTTGCCCAAATCCTTGCCCAAATCCTTGCCCAAATCCTTGCCCAAATCCTTGCCAATATCCTTGTCAATGTGCTGCTCAGTATCTTTGTTTACATGACTGTAAATAACCTTTTCAATATCCTTGCCCATACGCATGTCAATATCAGTGTCTACATGACAGTAAATATCCTTGCCCATACACTTGTCAATATCAGTGTCTACATGACAGTAAATATCCTTGCCCATTCATTCATTCAGTAGCATGTCCCTCGCGGAACCTCGCTGCCATAACAACCCTCCGGAAAACCTTCCTATCCTGAGCAAGATGTCCTGCGTCTGATACACCCATCTGGAGATCATCTGCCACATCCTGCACCCATCTTCTCCTTGGCCTTCCTCTTCCTCTCTTCCCAGGCATATACCCCTCCATTATTGTTCTCTCTAGACTTCCATGACGTTTCAAGTGACCAAAATATTTCAATTTTCTTTGTTTTATTGTCTTTACTAGCCAACCCTCTTCAATATTCAGCTCTTGAAGTATGGATGCATTTGTTCTTTTCTTTACCCAAGATATTCTTAGAACCTGTCTGTAACATTTATATTCAAATGCATTTATGCGCTGTTCCGCTTGTTTAGTAAGTGTCCAGGTCTCACAGGCGTATGTTGCAATGGGAAAGATGCATGCTCTTAAAAAATCTGACCTTTGTAATTCTATCTGTACAATTCCATAATTTATTCAGTTGTTTTAGTCTTTGAAGAGCAATTGATAGTCGTCGTTTAATTTCTTTCATTGTGTCACCATTGTTGGTAACCAGTGACCCAAGATATTCGAAATTTTCCACCACTTCCAATCTTTCCTTATTAACATATATTTCCTTCTCCATGGCAGTTTTGTTTGCCCATACACATGTCAATATCAGTGTCTACATGACAGTAAATATCCTTGCCCATACACCTGTCAATATCAGTGTCTACATGACAGTAAATATCCTTGCCCATACACCTGTCAATATCAGTGTCTACATGACAGTAAATATCCTTGCCCATACACCTGTTGATATCAGTGTCTACATGACTGTAAATATCCTTGCCAACATGTTGGTCAATGTCATTGTTTACATGGCTGAAATTTTGCGGGTGACTGAAGTCAAGCTAATACAAGGAATTCCAGTGAACTGTAACTAAAAAATTTAACCAAATGGGGAAGCAGAAAAACATGCACAAAACAAGACAAACAATGTTTCAGGCTGCTATCTTTGTGAAAAAACATGAAGTGAACTATACAAATGTAACAAAGAGAAGAGCATTCAGATCTCTAAGCGGTGATGTGAGCAACGTTTAGAAACATAGGATGTGAAATAAATTTAAAAAAAAAAAAATTACGATGGCTCAAAACATATAGTCGCAAAAAAAAAAATAATATTGTTAATATATAATATAAAAGTAGGAATAAACAAAAACAAATGGTAATGATACATAAATGATACTGATAAGAGATTTTTAATTACAGTTCACTTTAATTCCTTCTACATGGCTGTCAAAATCCTTGTCAATGTGCCTGTCAATTATCCTTGTCTAAATGCCTGTCAATATCCTTGTCATCAATATGCCTGTCAATATCCTTGTCATCAATGTGCCTGTCAATATCCTTGTCATCAATGTGCCTGTCAATATCCTTGTTAATGTGCCTGTCATTATCTTTGTCATCAATATGCCTGTCAATATCCTTGTCATCAATATGCCTGTCACTATCTTTGTCATCAATATGCCTGTCAATATCCTTGTCATCAATATGCCTGTCAATATCCTTGTCATCAATATGCCTGTCAATATCCTTGTCATCAATATTCCTGTCAATATCCTTGTCATCAATATGCCTGTCAATATCCATGTCATCAATGTGCCTGTCACTATTCTTGTCATCAATTTGCCTGTCACTATCCTTGTCAATGTTCATGTCACTACCCTTGTCAATGTACCTGTCACTATCCTTGTCAATGTGTCTGTCACTATCCTTGTCAATGTTCCTGTCACTATCCTTGTCAATGTGCCTGTCACTATCCTTGTCAATGTGTCTGTCACTATCCTTGTCAATGTGTCTGTCACTATTCTTGTCAATGTGCCTGTCACTATCCTTGTCAATGTTCATGTCACTACCCTTGCCAATGTACCTGTCACTATCCTTGTCAATGTGTCTGTCACTATCCTTGTCAATGTGTCTGTCACTATCCTTGTCAATGCGTCTGTCACTATCCTTGTCTAGGTGTCTGTCACTATCCTTGTCAATGTTCCTGTCACTATCCTTGTCAATGTTCCTGTCACTATCCTTGTCAATGTGCCTGTCACTATCCTTGTCAATGCACCTGTCACTATCCTTGTCTAGGTGTCTGTCCCTATCCTTGTCTAGGTGCCTGTCACTATCCTTGTCAACGTGCCTGTCACTATCCTTGTCAATGCGTCTGTCACTATCCTTGTCTAGGTGTCTGTCACTATCCTTGTCAATGTGCCTGTCACTATCCTTGTCCAGGTGTCTGTCACTATCCTTGTCAATGTGCCTGTCACTATCCTTGTCAATGTGTCTGTCACTATCCTTGTCTAGGTGTCTGTCACTATCTTTGTCAATGAGCCTGTCACTATCCTTGTCAATGCGTCTGTCACTATCCTTGTCTAGGTGTCTGTCACTATCCTTGTCTAGGTGTCTGTCACTATCCTTGTCAATGTGTCTGTCACTATCCTTGTCAATGTGCCTGTCACTATCCTTGTCTAGGTGTCTGTCACTATCCTTGTCTAGGTGTCTGTCACTATCCTTGTCAATGTGCCTGTCACTATCCTTGTTGAGGTGTCTGTCACTATCCTTGTCAATGTTCCTGTTACTATCTTTGTCAATGTGCCTGTCACTATCCTTGTCAATGTTCCTGTCACTATCCTTGTCTAGGTGTCTTTCACTATCCTTGTCTAGGTGCCTGTCACTATTCTTGTCTAGGTGTCTGTCACTATCCTTGTCAATGTGCTTGTCACTATCCTTGTCTAGGTGTCTGTCACTATCCTTGTCTAGGAGCCTGTCACTATCCTTGTCAATGTGCCTGTCACTATCCTTGTCTAGGAGCCTGTCACTATCCTTGTCTAGGAGCCTGTCACTATCCTTGTCTAGGAGCCTGTCACTATCCTTGTCTAGGTGCCTGTCAATATCCTTGTCTAGGTGCTTGTCACTATCCTTGTCAATGTGCCTGTCACTATCCTTGTCAATGTGCCTGTCACTATCCTTGTCTAGGAGCCTGTCACTATCCTTGTCTAGGTGCCTGTCACTATCCTTGTCTAGGAGCCTGTCAATATCCTTGTCTAGGTGCCTGTCACTATCCTTGTCTAGGAGCCTGTCACTATCCTTGTCTATGTGCCTTTCACTATCCTTGTCTAGGAGCCTGTCACTATCCTTGTCAATGTGCCTGTCACTATCCTTGTCAATGTGCCTGTCACTATCCTTGTCTAGGAGCCTGTCACTATCCTTGTCTAGGTGTCTGTCACTATCCTTGTCAATGTTCCTGTCACTATCCTTGTCAATGTTCCTGTCACTATCCTTGTCAATGTGCCTGTCACTATCCTTGTCAATGCACCTGTCACTATCCTTGTCTAGGTGTCTGTCCCTATCCTTGTCAATGTGCCTGTCACTATCCTTGTCAATGTTCATGTCACTACCCTTGTCAATGTGCCTGTCACTATCCTTGTCAATGTGCCTGTCACTATCCTTGTCTAGGAGCCTGTCACTATCCTTGTCAATGTGCCTGTCACTATCCTTGTCTTGGTGCCTGTCACTATCCTTGTCTAGGAGCCTGTCACTATCCTTGTCTAGGTGCCTGTCACTATCCTTGTCTAGCTGCCTGTAACTATCCTTGTCTAGGAGCCTGTCACTATCCTTGTCTAGGAGCCTGTCACTATCCTTGTCAATGTGCCTGTCACTATCCTTGTCAATGTGCCTGTCACTATCCTTGTCTAGGAGCCTGTCATTATCCTTGTCTAGGTGCCTTTCAGTTATGTCAGTAATGATGATCCACAAAACAAGAAAGGGGGGAAATAACAAAGAATCAGTTTAACTAGAATTATATCACCAGTACAGTTACTTATCCAGCAATTTACCGGTTCAGTAAAGTTTACTGGCAACATTGTGAGACCAGTTGGTTTATAGACTCCAAGCTTGAGCTCCACCAGCCCAAAAACTGGTCGCCCATACACGTACCTGAAATATAAACAGAACACTTCCAGAGCTGCATCCCTATCTCAGCTTGTCTACTGTTGTATGTGTACTCACTGCATCCCTATCTCAGCTTGTCTATTGTTGTATGTGTACTCACTGCATCCCTATCTCAGCTTGTCTCTTGTTGTACATGTACTCACTGCATCCCTATCTCAGCTTGTCTCTTGTTGTATGTGTACTCACTGCATCCCTATCTCAGCTTGTCTACTGTTGTATGTGTACTCACTGCATCCCTATCTCAGCTTGTCTACTGTTGTATGTGTACTCACTGCATCCCTATCTCAGCTTGTCTACTGTTGTATGTGTACTCACTGCATCCCTATCTCAGCTTGTCTACTGTTGTATGTGTACTCACTGTATCCCTATCTCAGCTTGTCTCTTGTTGTATGTGTACTCACTGCATCCCTATCTCAGCTTGTCTACTGTTGTATGTGTACTCACTGCATCCCTATCTCAGCTTGTCTATTGTTGTATGTGTACTCACTGCATCCCTATCTCAGCTTGTCTACTGTCGTATGTGTACTCACTGCATCCCTATCTCAACTTGTCTACTGTTGCATGTGTACTCACTGCATCCCTATCTCAGCTTGTCTACTGTTGTATGTGTACTCACTGCATCCCTATCTCAGCTTGTCTACTGTTGTGTGTGTACTCACTGCATCCCTATCTCAGCTTGTCTACTGTTGTACGTGTACTCACTGCATCCCTATCTCAGCTTGTCTACTGTTGTACGTGTACTCATGTATTATCAGCAAACTGAAATCTTGCATTCAAGTACACTAGAAAAAGGACACTTACACTTTATTACACACAGAAACAAGGTGTTGCTGCACTCAAATATAGTGTCAGAACTATTATCTTAACACCTAGACACTCAGATTTCACCATCATGCACATACAGACATCACACACACATACAAACAATTACACAGAGAGAGAGATAGTTAACTCCCCATACTGCAAGATCACTGCTAGCTAACAATGGAAGCTCTGAGAGCACAACAGGAAAGTAATTCTTTACAATCTCCCTGAGAGCACAACAGGAAAGTAATTCTCTACAATCTCCCTGACAGCACAACAGGAAAGTAATTCTTTACAATCTCACTGAGAGCGCAACAGGAAAGTAATTCTCTACAATCTCCCTGAGAGCACAACAGGAAAGTAATTTTCTACAATCTCCCTGAGAGCACAACAGAAAAGTAATTTTCTACAATCTCTCTGAGGGCACAACAGGAAAGTAATTCTCTACAATCTCCCTGAGAGCAGTACAGGAAAGTAATTCTCTACAATTTCCCTGAGAGTACAACAGGAAAGTAATTCTCTACAATCTCCCTGAGAGCACAACAGGGAAGTAATTCTCTACAATCTCCCTGAGAGCACAACAGGGAAGTAATTCTCTACAATCTCCCCGAGAGCACAACAGGGAAGTAATTCTCTACAATCTCCCCGAGAGCACAACAGGAAAGTAATTCTCTACAATCTCCCCGAGAGCACAACATGAAAGTAATTCTCTACAATCTCCCTGAGAGTACAACAGGAAAGTAATTCTCTACAATCTCCCTGAGAGCACAACATGAAAGTAATTCTCTACAATCTCCCTGAGAGTACAACAGGAAAGTAATTCTCTACAATCTCCCTGAGAGTACAACAGGGAAGTAATTCTCTACAATCTCCCTGAGAGCACAACAGGAAAGTAATTCTCTACAATCTCCCTGAGAGCACAACAGGAAAGTAATTCTCTACAATCTACAACTGTCTGTCCTTTGCATTCCAACAATTTTCAGTTTCTTTCTCATGAGACACCCATAAATGTCAGCTTCCCTCTTCACATGACACATCCCCAAATGTCAGCTTCCCTGTTCCAATGATGCACTCACAAATGCCAGCTTCCATTTTCTCAAGACACACCCATAAATGTCAGCTTTCTCATGACACCCAACAAATATCAGCTTTTTCTCATGACACACCCACAAATGTGAGCTTTCCTCTTCTGATGACACAGACACAAATGTCAACTTTCTTGTTTTCATGACAACCCCACCATTGAGAAACCTTCACTACACACACAAAAAATGTTTTCAACCATCTAAAAATGTAGTTGAGATCTGCTGCCATTATAAACAACAGTTTCACCTTGTAGTGACATTGACAGTGATCCACTCGGTGCCCTGGGTGATGACATCCGGGTCCACCCTGACGATGCTGGAAAACCTGGGCAGCACTGAAACAATCAATTGGTTTATTTATAATTGTGTTTTGAAAATGTCTGCTTCATTTGTGTACATAATCCACTCAAGCTCTTTAAACCACTTGTAACTTCTTCATTGTCTTCCTTCTCTTTCTATGATTCTTACTTCATTTTCCTCTTCATCTTCTTATTCTATTTTTCTATATTCATTGTTTTTAATGACAGTGTTTGCACTGAAAGCCTTCAATGTGGGTTTTTTAGCCAGCAGAGCCAAATTCTTCCTGGCAATTGTCTAATAGGTTAGTGCCCCGAAATGGTTTGAAAAGACATTCTTCACCATTTCATCAACTACCAGTTTACTTTAACAACCATGTCCAGGACAACTGCATGCAAACAAGAAGTCAACAGAAATCGTAGACAGATAAATAGCAAACTGCTGACTGAATGAGTGGCTAAGTGACCCAGTGTGCCAACACGCTCAAGGCACCAGTCAGAACCATCTCAAAAGAGTGAAATCTGATGCTTAACTGAATAATTAGTGTGTTTTATTGATTGTTCTGTATGAGCACACTGTCTGTTTGTATCATGTATGTGACTTCAGAATGCAACCCACTATTTTTTTTTTTTTTTTTGTTTTTTAAAGTATACAGAAAAATCTGGTTTTGGATATATCCTTAATCTAAGTAAGGCGACCAGGACAAACCTATTTAATTCTCGAATTCCAGAGAAATTTGACTAAAAAGCTCAACAAAATGGGAAAAAGGAAAACGTGCACAAAACAACACAACGTAACTATTTAATTCTCCTAGACTGCTGGTGAAATCGAACACAGAGACTTTTTTCCAGATGTAAAGTGTTAAGGTACAGATAAGACTGAGCAGGTAGACTAAGTGGCACCAGTGAAAGTGAAAGCTCAGACATAGTGGCTGGAGATTTTGCTTGTAGAATTGAGTGGTCAGATAATTATCTCCTAGTCAGACCTTTAGGAGCTGCTAACCCAGGCTAATTGTGATTATCTCCCCCTGAGGTTACCCTACTTGAGTGCAGGTCAGATCACCAGTATTGAGATAGTCGGCTGAAGGTGCTAGCAGACAGAATCTGGCAGGTTGAAATAGGGGAGGAAGGTGTGACTTTACTTATGAGCTCTGGCCAGCTTGTTGGACCAGGATAATGAGACCGTGGGAATGCAAACAGGTGTTGTACAGTCCTGACTGACAGTGAATAGACTTACCCACAGGGAGGAGCTGTGACATCCCTTGAATGAGAGAAGTTTTAGGAGTAAGGTAGGAGGAGCTTAGAAGAAGTTATAAAAGGGTGGACTCTAGGGCTGGGGAGTGAGACTCTGCCATCAGCATACCATCTGTTGGGCTTAAACCCTAAGCTTGAGACAGAACTTTTGGCATTGTGTTTTCATTTTCCAGGTAAGCCTAACTATTTCCAACCTTTATTTCATGATAGTAATCTCAACTGTCTCTTTGCTCAAGTGTGTGTCTTTCTTCACTTTATATACTCCTTAGCCGATCTTTCTCCATTCTCGTAGGGTACTGTAAAATTGTTTTATATCATAATTGATATTGTCATGAATGTTTTTCGTGCACATGTGTTTCAATGTTGTATAACTTAAATGTTGGTGTTTCCATGAAATTTAATGAACTAGCATTTTTCTAAAATCACAAACGTGAAGATAATTTTGGTAGTCTTTACGCGTGTGGTTAATTTGAATCTATATTACATACAGCTAACACACTGAAATGTGTTCTAACTCCCGAGAGGCTAATGCGGAGATTGATCCCAGAGAGAAAATCCCTGAGATTTGATATCGCCCCAGAAATATTGTTATTATTCTGGGTGCGCCCATTATTCCAAGCATTAATTCCAGAACTTGTTCTGTCAAACTGATTGTAATTTTGAGTCTGCATGAGAGATGACATAAGACATAGAAGACGCAATTATCATTACAGGACGTGAGTAGAAGAAGGCAGGAAATGTAATGACTTCCATGTGAGACAAAGTCCTTTCAGACTGAATAGGAGAGAATGTGAATATGAGGAAGAGATTAAATGTTTTATTAGAATAGACATGTTTGGTGTAAGTCTAGATACTACACATATGTGCTTGTTTCTTTAGCACTGTTCCCACATTGGGCAGGGACAAGTCAGCACCCATTCTCTGCCAACCGTCTGTGTGTAACGACCTGCTTGAAGCAGCGAGGACGACAAACTGGAAAAGGATAGGCAGGGTCTCAAACTGACAACTGTCCAAGGTTGATTTTCTCCAATTTTATAAGTTATGTTTATTTAACTTTCATTTGAATTAATTTCATCAGTAACACCATCTTCACTCTACTGGCCTAAACACAATCATTTTATTTTTGGTTAGATTTATTCAGTAAATCTTGTTCATGTTATAAAGTAGTTGAGTAAATATGTTCAAGTGTCTTTGTGCATACTAGTTTACTTTAGATCACAAATATGAAAATCACTTGATAGGGCTTTTGTTACAAATTAATACCAGGAGAGGAGAAAGTCAGAGGGGTTAACTGTGTATCTTGATTTTATCTCATTGGGTTCATGTTGATACCTATCTATCCCTTCTCTTCCTCCTGTGAATACAAGTACAGCAACTTTCATTTAATGGAATGAGCCACTCGCTGCTTTCTTGGTTATCCAGGACTGTCTAGGATCAACATAGCTTAGATATTAGTCCAGTTTCTCACGTGAGTGGGCATTGTTAGGATTCAAACCCACACACTCACTATATAAGTGTATTTACCCACGGGGTTGGCGACCATGTATGTGAATGCTAATTAGTACACAATTGTTGAGCTAAAATACAAACCATATTCTTTCACTTCAAATGTGACCGTGGCTCCAGACATCTGGCCCTGGGAAAGATTAAACAGTTCAATTATACATTGAAATACACTATCTATTTATAAAAATAACTACATAGTCAATACACTGAAATAACTTCACAATCAATACACTGAAATAACTACACAATCAATACACTGAAATAACTACACAATCAATACACTGAAATAAACTACACAATCAATACACTGAAATAACTACACAATCAATACACTGAAATAACTACACAATCAATACACTGAAATAACTACACAATCAATACACTGAAATAACTACACAATCAATACACTGAAATAACTACACAATCAATACACTGAAATAACTACACAATCAATACACTGAAATAACTACACAATCAATACACTGAAATAACTATAAATAACCACACAATCTACTCAATGAAATAACTACATAATCTATGCGATGGTTGGGATAGCTGAGACTCTACAATAACATAACTAGAGAGACATTTTTACTGCTCTGATTGCACAGACTTGATATGGGTCTGACTCATCACTGTAAGCAGCCATCAGTTCCTGGGGAACACGGAGTTGTTGACCCTGGTTTTGGGAACTGTGTCTGCTCTGAAAGTAAAGTCCAAAGTGGGAGTAACAGTCTCTGCCACATTGTCCACATAAAAATGATGCTCCATCATTCTGAGGCTGGTTTTCTCTCAGACTTCACCTTTATATAGCTTGCTGCGTCTGGCCTCTTTCAAACTATGATAGTCTAGTCTAACAAGACAGAATCTATACTGGTCTGACCACACAGACTTTACATAAAAAGAAACCAGTTGTTCATTAGGTCACACACAATGACACTCAGTCAACCATGTCCACATTCCATCAGCCCACTCAGTCAGCTACTTCAGAACAGACTCAGTCACTCAATAAATCTATAAGTAAGCATAGAAATGGTCAGTAGATGTCATAGCTTTACTTACCACTCCCTCAAAGTGGGCATACCAATGGTCAGCAGATGTCATAGCTTTACTTACCACTCCCTCAAAGTGGGCATACCAATGGTCAGCAGATGTCATAGCTTTACTTACCACTCTCTCAAAGTGGGCATACCAATGGTCAGTAGATGTCATAGCTTTACTTACCACTTCCTCAAAGTGGGCATACAAATGGTCAGCAGATGTCATAGCTTTACTTACCACTCTCTCAAAGTGGGCATACCAATGGTCAGTAGATGTCATAGCTTTACTTACCACTCTCTCAAAGTGGGCATACAAATGGTCAGTAGATGTCATAGCTTTACTTACCACTCCCTCAAAGTGGGCATATAAATGGTCAGTAGATGTCATAGCTTTACTTACCACTCTCTCAAAGTGGGCATACAAATGGTCAGTAGATGTCATAGCTTTACTTACCACTCTCTCAAAGTAGGCATACAAATGGTCAGTAGATGTCATAGCTTTACTTACCACTCCCTTAAAGTGGGCATACAAATGGTCAGTTGATGTCATAGCTTTACTTACCACTCTCTCAAAGTGGGCATACAAATGGTCAGTAGATGTCATAGCTTTACTTACCACTCTCTCAAAGTGGGCAGAGATGAACCACTGGCCTGGTGGAGTCTCCTTGGGAAGGGGAAATTTTTTGGCAGTGAAGGCTTCTTCTGCTGTCAGTATTAACCGATCGACCACGATATGCTTGTGATTCTAGAGACAGACAGTTGTGGGTCATGTTGTAGTATAACCTGAGGCTCAGAGAACTACATGACACTGTCAATATCAACCTGCAGTTGTCAGAACTATAGAACATCATCACTATGTCAGTTATCAGACATGGAGTCCAACAAGAGTGGCAGACAGAACATCATCACTGTGTCAGTTATCAGACAATGAGTCCAGCAATAGTGGCAGACAGAACATCATCACTGTGTCAGTTATCAGACATGGAGTCCAGCAACAGTGGCAGACAGAAAACAAATATTTTAACCTGGCATGGCAGATGTTCAGATGTCTAGAAAATGACACTCAGTTTGTTACTCTTAAATGGACTTATATACAATAAAGAAGTAAAGTAAAAGTAAAGATCCCTTTTCACGCCTTTCGGCGCATCGGGCATATGGGCAGAGAATCCCATATTTTTACAGACCATCAGCACTCGGTGGGTAATGTGGTCAGCATTACGCCGGCTGTCTTTACTTTCCCAGGACAGCCCATCCTGGTACCCATTTTAAGCTGGGTCGACCTGCGAGGTCCCATACCATGACACAAATCCACGCAGCCTGCAGTGTGTTTCGATCGCGGTATGCTGGCTTACGAGTCGGAATAAGATACAAATCATTTACAATAAGACACCAGCATACCAACTGATTGCTGATTATAATTTAGGACTGATAAATTAAGATTTATACACACACAGACACACACACACACGCGCATGAACACGCACGCACACACCAACACACACAAACACAAATAGACACACAGAGACACACACACACACACACACACACACACACAAGGCATGTTTATTTAAGTTAGTTTTGTTTTAACCACAGCGACAAACACAAATGGAAAACTTAAATGTGCCTATTCAGTATGTGCTGTTCATTAGCTAGCTGTATGATATTTTTTCACTTTTCAAATCTTGTCTGATGCTGCGTGTGGGTGATTTATAGTGAGTGCAATAACAACAAATATTTCCGCCAGCTACAAGGTTCGTGCTGTGATCCGCTTTTGTTGTTGTTGTTTTTTGTTGTTGTTGGAAAAAAGCAACAATGCTGCAGAAATTCACAGGCAACTCGTTGAGGTTTATGGGACAGATGTTATAAATGATAGTATGGTTAGGAAACTGTATCAAATGTTTAAAGAAGGATGAACAAATATCCATGATAAAGATCGTAGTGGTCGGCCAAGTGTGGTGACGATGATTTAGTTGAAAAAGTGAACCCCAAAAAAATTCAGGAAAATTGTTATTTCCCAATTTCTGCATTGTCTGTCAAATTTTTGGAAGTTTCACATTCACTGATTTATGACAGAGTGACAAGAAACGATGGATACAAAACAATTTGGTGCCATCCCCCCCAAAAAAAAGAGGGTTGCTGTCCTCTGGAATTGTGCTTTTTGCACAATAATACTGGACCTCACATCGCAGATGGAACTGTTCAATTGTTGCAGAAATGCCACTGGGAAATTATTGAGCATCTGCCACAGAAGCCTGATCTGGCTCCAAGTGATTGCCAACTTGTCATGCACATAAAGAAGTAGCTGGCATCCCAGTGGCTGGAAACAAATGGTAATGAATGGTTCCAGACACTGGCACCAGATTTCTATGACAGTGGAATAAAACTGGAATTAAGAACCTGGTGCCACAATTCCAACAATGTTGAAGCAGAGGTGACTATGTTGAGAAATAATGTCAACGAGGAATTCACTTTTGGCTGCAAACAATCATTTTTTTATATGATGTGTTTTTTTTTTTAAATACCAGGACTTACTTAAAAAAATGCACTGTGTGTGTGTGTGTGTGTGTGCGCACGCACGTGCGTGCGTGCGTGCCTGCCTGCCTGCATGCGTGTGTGTGTGTGTGTATACATATATATAATGTGTGTGTGTGTGCGTGTGTGTGTGTATGTAAAAGTGAGCCTCTGTATGTATGCACATGTGTATATGTGTGTGTGTGCATGCGTATGTGTATGTAAAAGTGAGCTTCTGTATGTATGCAAATGCGTATATGTGTGTGTTTAGTAGAGTCTACAAGATCCAGTGTCCAACAACATCCCAGGCAACAAGAATAAAAATAAGACCGCAGCCCCACAATGGTCTTGTGCCTGCAGGCAATAAATATTGGCTATAATGATATGAGAAAACACCTACTCTGATATCGATGCGAATCATATACTTGGCCAGTTTCTGGTGCTCGTCCACTGCAATGACTCGGAACATGACTGTGATGAGAAACAACTATATTTTTAACAGGCATAATACAACGGAGATACAGAATAGTTGTTGGAGGGGACAGATCAAAGACAACAGTGCTAGAGGAAAGTTGTTGGAGGGGACAGATCAGAGACAACAGTGCTACAGGAAAGTTGTTGGATGAGACAGATCAGAGACAACAGTGCTAGAGGAAAGTTGTTGGATGGGACAGATCAGGGACAACAGTGCTACAGGAAAGTTGTTGGAGGGGACAGATTGAAGACAACAGTGCTACAGGAAAGTTGTTGGATGGGACAGATCAGAGACAACCGTGCTAGAGGAAAGTTGTTGGATGAGACAGATCAGATACAACAGTGCTACAGGAAAGTTGTTGGATGGGACAGATCAGAGACAACAGTGCTAGAGGAAAGTTGTTGGATGGGACAGATCAGAGACAACAGTGCTAGAGGAAAGCTGTTGGATGGGACAGATCAGGGACAACAGTGCTACAGGAAAGAAGCTTGATGGAACTATGAATGTATGATAATGGCGAACACTGGTTTTGATCATACCGAGTGGTAGGGTTGAAGCACTGTACATAGAACTCCATGTAAGATCTATGGGAGACAACTACAGCAATTTCAGAGACATCCATATGCAATAAAGGTTATACTTTAGAAACTAAACGAAACAGTTTATAAACACTTCTGTGCACACAGAGACAGATGATGATGATGGACAGGCAACATTGCCCATCATAGGCACTGAAACCTGGGGGCTCTGGCCACTGCCCCCCCCCCCTACCCTCCCTGTTTTCTTTCGCCAAAGCCCCTGTGGACCACATAAACTGATGATAAATGTCTTATTGCAGATACGGTTTCCCACAGACTTTCTGAGGCATTCCACAAGACAGCAGACATCTCAAGCAGTGTCTGCCACAAGACAGCCGACATCTCGAGCAGTGTCTGGCACAAGACAGCATAGATCTTGAGCAGTGTCTGGCACAAGACAGCAGACAACTCGAGCTGTGTCTGGCACAAGACAGCAGACATCTCTAGCAGTGTCTGGCACAAGACAGCAGACATCTCGAGCAGTGTCTGGCACAAGACAGCAGACATCTCGAGCAGTGTCTGGCACAAGACAGCAGACATCTCGAGCTGTGTCTGGCACAAGACAGCAGACATCTCGAGCGGTGTCTGGCACAAGACAGCAGACATCTCGAGCGGTGTCTGGCACAAGACAGCAGACATCTCGAGCAGTGTCTGGCACAAGACAGCAGACATCTCGAGCAGTGTCTGGCACAAGACAGCAGACATCTCTAGCAGTGTCTGGCACAAGACAGCAGACATCTCGAGCGGTGTCTGGCACAAGACAGCAGACATCTTGAGCAGTGTCTGGCACAAGACAGCAGACATCTCGAGCGGTGTCTGGCACAAGACAGCAGACATCTCGAGCAGTGTCTGGCACAAGACAGCAGACATCTCGAGCAGTGTCTGGCACTGCAGCAGACATCTATTATAGTGTCTGGCACAATGACAGCAAAAGCAATCTCTAGCAGTGTTTGGCACAGATGGCTCTCGTGCGGTGGAGCAGAAGACAGCAGACATCTCTAGCAGGTTCATAAGCAGCAGGCGAATCGCACGTCGCTGGGTGCAAGACAGCAGCCATTCTAGCATATCTGGCACAAGTCTAGTATCTCTAGAATGGAGGTGGAGGCACAAGTCAGCAGACTGCGAGCCAGTGTCTTGGCATCAGCTTTACACACATCTCGAGCAGTGTCTGGCACAAGACTCACAGAGCAGGCTCGAGCAGTGTCTGGCACAAGACAGCAGACATTTGTGCAGAGTCTGGCAAGACAGCACATCACTAGCAGTGTCTGGCACAGTGAGCAGACCTGTAGACATTTTGGCTCCAGCAGACAAGCTCGAGCAGTCTCTGGGAAACGAGACAGCAGACAGACTGGCTAGCTTCTGGCATCAGACAGCAGATATCTTGAGCATGTATGGCACAAGCTGCATGTTGTGAGGGCCTTTTGGGAAGTGAGTGTACATCAGTGCAGTGTCTGGCACAGATAGATTATTATATCTCGAGAAGAATGGGGCACAAGAGGAGCAGATCTCTAGCTGATGCTTGACACTCAGGGGACATCACTAGCAAGATCTGGCATATCACAATCACTACAGTGTTGGTACTATCAGCATTTATCTCTTAGCTTGCTGTTCAAGATAGGGATGGGACGAGCTTTTCCTGGCATCAAATATCAAAATAAGAAAGAAGAAGAAAGAAGAAAAAGAAACATCAACACATAAACTGGTACCAGTTTCCATGAATGCTTTTGTCGGCCCTATATTATGTATATAATGTAAACACAGCAATTTCTCTAGCAGATGTGCCACAAGACAGCAGCTCATCTTGATCACTTCAGCAATACCAGCAACAAAGATACAATAACTGATAACAAAATACCAGCAACAGCAACCCAATCAGCTATAACAGATGCCTCAACACTACCACAATGAACTATAACAATTTATAGCGGAACACTACACGTCGCAGGGTATAACAAAGCCAGCCATTTGATATCCAATGTCTAGCTATAACAATGGATGCCAGCAACACTACCACAACAACTATAACAATACAGCAGCACACTTCCACATTGTAACTGATAACAAAGCATGCTGAGCAACGTGGAGACAACAACTCCGTGCAGAGTGGCAAGCATCATGACACCTGGGTAGTGAGACAACTATAACAATTTCTCCAGCAACGTGACACAACAAACTATAGGCAGACAACTACCAGCATCTGCACCACTTGGTTGTGAACTGATAACAATACCAGCAATGTGACACAACAAGTATAACAATGCCCAGCAACATGAGACAATTATGGTCTATAACAATGGGGCTGCAGCAACATGACACAACACACTATAACAATGGAAGATGGATATGACACAACAACAGTATTGGTACTACAGAATTTGAACTCTTCGCAACATGACACAACAACTATATACAATGCCACATCAAATAAGAAAGGACAAGAAGAACTATAACAATGCCAGCAACACTAAGAAGAAGAAAGAACTAGAACAATAAGAAGCAAAATGACATGACAAGAAAACTATAACAATGCCAGCAACACTACCACAACAACTAAGAAACAAAGACCAGCAACAAGAACCCAAAAGAAAGAAGAAGAAGAAGAAATAAGAATGCCAGCAACATGAAGACAACAACTATAACAAAGACCAGCAAAACATACCACAACAAACTGGTAACAATACCATGCAACACTACCACAACAACTATAACAATACCAGCAACACTACCACAACAACTATAACAATACCAGCAACATAACCCAACAGCTATAACAATGCCAGCAACATGACACAACAACTATAACAATACCAGCAACACTACCACAACAACTATAACAATACCAGCAACACTACCACAACAACTATAACAATACCAGCAACATAACCCAACAGCTATAACAGTGCCAGCAACATGACTACAACGACTACAATAATGCTAACAATATGACACATGAACTGACCCGTCTGTAAAGGTGTGTACACCGGTTTGTCTGTCTGTATGAAAATGTAGCCAAAGTTCTGAGAGAATGTCAGAGTCTTCTTGCTCTCGTACTCCCCACAGGACATGGCGATCACCACCCCAGTCTCATCCAGCTCATGCATGTGTTCCCAGGTGAACTTCACTCGGTATACCTGCGAACCATCTGTGGATAGGAGACGAGGACACACTAAGACTTGCTGGACCAGGGACACAGAATGTACAGACACGCATCTAGAATCTATAGAATCTGTGCTCACAGTTAACAGAGTACGGCAGACTACACACAACTGTTGGCATTATGCCAAAGTTACCTGCGTGCAATGTTGGCTATTTTCCCTAGACGTATTTTTACGGCTCTTATTTGTCACATAACAATAGGCCACACATACCTTTTTTGTCACACAAAAAAGGTCACACACATACCTGGTTTGTCACATAACAACAGGCCACAGATATACATTTTTTGTCACATAACAATATGCCACAGAGATACCTTGTTTGTCACATAACAGACCACAAATATACCTTGTTTGTCACATAACAACAGACCATAGAGATACCTTGTTTGTCACATAACAACAGACCATAGAGATACCTTGTTTGTCACATAACAATAGGCCACAGAGATACCTTGTTTGTCACATAACAACAGGCCACAGAGATACCTTGTTTGTCACATAACAACAGGCCACAGAGATACCTTGTTTGTCACATAACAACAGGCCACAGACATAAAAGTGAATCTCTAGGTGCCTGAAAATTGAAGATTAGTTCCTGTTGGTTTCTGTGAACACACAAATCGGAATCGTTCTGGAGAGATGAGACGATGCCACAGATAAATAACTGAAGCCTGACAAAATAGATCAAAGACAGCCTGTGGTTTGTATGCCAGATAGTCCAAACACCATAGAAATAAAATATTTTAAAGCATTGAAGTTCATTCAACTATTTACATATTAATTGTGGGCTAGGAAATAATTGGACAGCAGTGACGGTAAATCTTCGGGTTGAGAGAATACCTAATGTAAAACTTGGAGAGATATGGAAACACATTCAACTGAACGTGGAAGTTGAGAGAATACCTAATATAAAACTTGGAGAGATATGGAAACACATTCAACTGAACGTGGAAGTTGAGAGAATACCTAATGTAAAACTTGGAGAGATATGGCAACACATTCAACTGAACGTGGAAGTTGAGAGAATACCTAATGTAAAACTTGGAGAGATATGGAAACACATTCAACTGAACGTGGAAGTTGAGAGAATACCTAATGTAAAACTTGGAGAGATATGGAAACATATTCAACTGAAACACCAAGTAGAGAGAATACCTAATGTAAAACTTGGAGAGATCATTCAAACATATTCAACTGAACGTGGAAGTTGAGAGAATACCTAATGTAAAACTTGGAGAGATATTGAAACACATTCAACTGAACGTGGAAGTTGAGAGAATACCTAATGTAAAACTTGGAGAGATATTGAAACACATTCAACTGAACGTGGAAGTTGAGAGAATACCTAATGTAAAACTTGGAGAGATATGGAAACACATTCAACTGAACGAGGAAGTTGTCCTTGTGTAGTGGTTAAACGCTAGTTTCGGGTTCAAAGGTTTCAAATCCGCATCGAGCTTTCTTTATTTTTTTAAATGACATCGCCTACAGTGGTAACTCGGTTTAAGATGGGTAATAGGTACAGCCCTAGGAAGTAAAGGCGGATGGTCTGAAATTTATCACATCACCCACCAAGTGTTGATTGGTCTATAGAATGTAAGTCTAGCCCTGTATGCCAAATGCGGCTAATGGAAAAGGTGTTTTATTAGTGAGATAACAGGTAAGTAAACAGACACTGACAATGAAGTAGACACAGGCTAAGAAAAGTTGACAATAGTGTAACTGGACACTAGTGTAACCGGACAGTAGTGTAATTGGACAACAGACAATAGTGTAACTATACAGTAGTGTTACAAGACAAAAGTGTAACTGGACAGTAGTGAAACTGGAAAGTAGTGTAACTGGACAACTAGACAATAGTGTAACTATACAGTAGTGTTACTAGACAAAAGTGTAACTGGATAGTAGTGTAACTGGACAGCAGTATAACTGGACAGTAGTGTAACTGGACAACTAGACAATAGTGTAACTAGACAACTAGACAATAGTGTAACTGGACAATAGACAATATGTAACTGTAGACAATAGTGTAACTGAACAATAATGTAACTAGACAATAGTGTAACTGAACAACTAGACAATAATGTAACTGGACAACTAGACAATAGTGTAACTGGACAATAGTGTGACTAGACAATAGTGTAACTGAACAACTAGACAATAGTGTAACTGGACAACTAGACAGTAGTGTAACTGAACAACTAGACAGTAGTGTAACTGGACAACTAGACAGTAGTGTAACTGGACAACTAGACAGTAGTGTAACTGAACAACTAGACAATAGTGTAACTGAACAACTAGACAGTAGTGTAACTGGACAACTAGACAATAGTGTAACTGGACAATAGTGTGACTAGACAATAGTGTAACTGAACAACTAGACAATAGTGTAACTAAACAACTAGACAATAGTGTAACTGGACAATATTGTACCTAGACAATAGTGTAACTATACAACAGTGTTACTAGACAATTAGTGTAACTGAACAACTAGACAATTGTATAACTGAACAACTAGACAATAGTGTAACTGGACAATATTGTAACTAGACAATAGTGTAACTGGACAATAGTGTGACTAGACAATAGTGTAACTGAACAACTAGACAATAGTGTAACTGAACAACTAGACAATAGTGTAACTGGACAACTAGACAATAGTGTGTAACTATACAGTAGTGTTACTAGAAAATAGTGTAACTGGACAATAGTGTGACTGGACAATAGTGTAACTGAACAACTAGACAATAGTGTAACTGGACAATAGTGTTACAAGACAATAGTGAAACTGGACACTAGTGTAACTGGACAATAGTGTAACTGAACAACTAGACAATAGTGTAACTGGACAACTATACAATAGTGTAACTGGACAATAGTGTAACTAGACAATAGTGTAACTGGACAATAGTGTAACTAGACAATAGTGTAACTGGACACTAGTGTAACTGGACAATAGTGTAACTGAACAACTAGACAATAGACAATAGTGTAACTGGACAACTAGACAATAGTGTAACTGAACAACTAAACACTAGTGTAACTGGACAACTATACAATAGTGTAACTGAACAACTAGACAATAGTGTAACTGGAAATAGTGTAACTAACAATGTAACTAGACTAGACTAGACAATAGTGTAACTGGACAATAGTGTAACTAGTCAATAGTGTAACTGGACAATAGTGTTACAAGACAATAGTGAAACTGGACACTAGTGTAACTGGACAATAGTGTAACTGAACAACTAGACAATAGTGTAACTGGACAACTATACAATAGTGTAACTGGACAATAGTGTAACTAGACAATAGTGTAACTGGACAATAGTGTAACTAGACAATAGTGTAACTGGACAATAGTGTAACTAGACAATAGTGTAACTGGACAACTATACAATAGTGTAACTGGACACTAGTGTAACTGGACAATAGTGTAACTGAACAACTAGACAATAGTGTAACTGGACAACTAGACAATAGTGTAACTGAACAACTAGACAATAGTGTAACTGGAAATAGTGTAACTAGACAATAATGTAACTAGACAATAGTGTAACTAGACAGTAGTGTAACTGGACAATAGTGTAAATAGACAAAAGTGTAACTGGACAATAGTGTTACAAGACAATACTGTAACTGGACACTAGTGTAACTGGACAATAGTGTAACTGAACAACTAGACAATAGTGTAACTGGACAACTAGACAATAGTGTAACTGAACAACTAGACAATAGTGTAACTGGACAACTATACAATAGTGTAACTGAACAACTAGACAATAGTGTAACTGGAAATAGTGTAACTAGACAATAAAGTAACTAGACAATAGGGTAACTAGACAATAGTGTAACTGGACAATAGTGTAACTAGACAATAGTGTAAGTGGACAATAGTGTTACAAGACAATAGTGTAACTGGACACTAGTGTAACTGGACAATAGTGTAACTGAACAACTAGACAATAGTGTAACTGGACAACTAGACAATAGTGTAACTGAACAACTAGACAATAGTGTAACTGGACAATAGTGTAACTAGACAATAGTGTAACTGGACAATAGTGTAACTGGACAATAGTGTAACTAGACAATAGTGTAACTGGACAATAGTGTAACTGGACAATAGTGTAACTAGACAATAGTGTAACTGGACAATAGTGTAACTAGACAATAGTGTAACTGGACAATAGTGTAGCTATCAATAGTGTAACTGGACAATAGTGTTACTAGACAATAGTGTAACTGGAGACTAGTGTAACTGGACAATAGTGTAACTGGACAATAGTGTAACTGAACAACTAGACAATAGTGTAACTGGACAATAGTGTAACTAGACAACAGTGTAAGTGGACAATAGTGTCTCACACTCAAGCACATACACACAAACATATCCTCACTCTTACTGCCACACACATACACCTCCACTCTCTCATACACACCCATATCCACTCTCTATCTCACACACATACACACATCCACATTCTACTCTCTAATACACACCCATATTCACTCTCTATCTCACACTCACACACAGACATCCACAGACTCTCTGTCTCTCTCTCTCTCTCACACACACACACATCCACTCTCTATATCACACTCACACACAGATATCCACACTTTTTCTGTCTCTCTCTTCTTTTAAAATATTCATAAAATGCTTTATTAGTAAAATACAACTGCTGTGCGAAAGATGGTTGACTGGAAGGGCCGAATGTAGGACGGGTCTGTCTGCCCAGTTTGCAACCCTTTGAAGATAAAGTTCGTTCGTTTGTTCTCTCTCACAAACACACATATCCACTCTCTCATATACACATATCCTATCTCTATCTTACACTCACACACACACATCCACGCTCTTTCTCTCTCTTTCTCTCTCTTTCTCTCTCTCTCTCTCTCTCTCTGTCTCACACACACACATCAACTCTCACTCTCACACATTCACACTTTTTTCTGTCTCTTACACAAACATATCCACTCTCTCACGCTCACACACATTCACACTCTTCTGTCTCACACATACACACACATACACACACACTCTCTCTCTCTCTCTCTCTCTCTCGCACACACATATCCACTTTGTCTCTCATCCATCTGCTCTCTCTCTCTCACACACACACACACATCCATTCTTCCTCTCTTTCACGCATAAATCCACTCTCATACACACACATCCACTCTCATACACATACCCACTCTCTCACACACATATATCCACTCTCACTCCCTCACACACACATCCACTTTCTCTCTCTCACATCCACTCTCTCATATACACACTCATATCCACTCTCTCTCACTCACATACACATACACATTCACACACCACACTCTCTCTCTCTCAAACACACATCCACACTCTCTCTCTCTCTTATCCAAACATTCACTCTCTCACATACACACATTTATCTGCTCTTAATCTCACACTCACATACACACATCCCCTCTTACTCTCTCGCACACCCATATCCACTCTCTTTCTCTTACACACACACACACATCCACTCTCATACACACACATACATATCCACTCTCTATCTCCCTCTCACACACACATCCACACACATCCACACTCTCCCTCTCTCTCACACACACAAAGATCCACACTCTCTCTCTCACACACACAAAGATCCACTCTCTCACACACACAAAGATCCACACTCTCTCTCTCTCACACACACAAAGATCCACACTCTCACTCTCTCTCACACACACAAAGATCCACTCTCTCACACACACAAAGATCCACACTCTAACTCTCTTCTCACACACACAAAGATCCACTCTCTCACACACACAAAGATCCACTCTCTCACACACATATCCACTCTCTCACACACCCCTATTCACCATCTGTCTCACATTCACACATACATATCCACACTCTTTCTTTCTCTCTCTCTCTCTCTCTCTCTCTCTCTCATATACACACACACACACACATACACACACATTCACTCTCTCACGCACACATATAACAACTCACACACACACATTTTACCCTTTGTCTATTTCTCTTTCTTTCTCTCTCACACACACACACACTCACACACACACTCACACACACACTCACACACACACTTACACACACACTCACACTCACACACATACACACACACCACCGACATACCTGAGCTAAAGTCTAGGAATGTCGAGTTCAGCAACTTGCTGGTGTCCTTCTGACCTCTGAACTCAAGGGTCACGGTCTCCCTCTGGGTCGGGCCTATTCCCAGCGCTGACACAGACACAACCAGGTCCACATCGTAGTAGACTTCCTTGGGGACAGTCAGTAGAAGCTGGGCCCTGGTCAGTGTCGAGAGAGGCAGCAGATTGGTTAGGTAAGTGTCGGGAGAGGCAGCAGATTGGTTAGGTAAGTGTCGGGAGAGGTAGCAGATGGGTTAGGTAAGTGTCGGGAGAGGCAACAGACTTGTTAGGTAAGTGTCGGGAGAGGCACCAGATCAGTTAGGTCAGTGTCGGGAGAGGCAGCAGATTGGTTAGGTCAGTGTCGGGGGAAGTAGCAGATTGATTAGGTAAGTGTCGGGAGAAACAGCAGATCAGTTAGGTCAGTGTCGGGAGAGGCAGCAGATTGGTTAGGTAAGTGTGGGGAGAGGTAGCAGATTGGTTAGGTAAGTGTCGGGGGAAGTAGCAGATTGATTAGGTAAGTGTCGGGAGAGACAGCAGATCAATTAGGTCAGTGTGGGGAGAGGCAGCAGACTTGTTAGGTAAGTGTGGGGAAAGGTAGCAGATTGGTAAGGTAAGTGTCGGAAGATGCAGCAGACTTGTTAGGTCAGTGTCGGGAGAGGCAGCAGATTGGTTAGGTAAGTGTGGGGAGAGGTAGCAGATTGGTTAGGTCAGTGTCGGGAGAGGCAGCAGATTGGTTAGGTAAGTGTCGGGAGAGGCAGCAGATTGGTTAGGTAAGTGTCGGGAGAGGCAGCAGATTGGTTAGGTCAGTGTCGGGAGAGGCAGCAGATTGGTTAGGTCAGTGTCGGGAGAGGCAGCAGATTGGTTAGGTAAGTGTCTGGAGAGGCAGCAGATTGGTTAGGTAAGTGTCGGGAGAGGCAGCAGATTGGTTAGGTAAGTTTTTGGAGAGGCAGCAGATTGGTTAGGTAAGTGTCTGGAGAGGCAGCAGATTGATTAGGTCCGTGTCGGGAGAGGCAGCAGATTGATTAGGTCAGTGTCGGGAGAGGCAGCAGATCGGTTAGATATGTGTCGGGAGAGGTAGCAGATTGGTTAAGTAAGTGTCGGGAGAGGCAGCAGATTGGTGAGGTAAATGTGGGGAAAGGCAGCAGATTGATTAGGTAAGTGTGGGGAGAGGCAGCAGACTTGTTAGGTTAGTGTGGGGAGAGGTAGCAGATTGGTTAGGTCAGTGTCGGGAGATGCAGCAGATTGATTAGGTAAGTGTGGGGAGAGGCAGCAGATTGGTTAGGTAAGTGTGGGGAGAGGCAGCAGATTGGTTAGGTAAGTGTGGGGAGAGGCAGCAGATTGGTTAGGTAAGTGTCGGGAGAGGTAGCAGATTGGTTAGGTAAGTGTGGGGAGAGGCAGCAGATTGGTTAGGTAAGTGTCGGTAGAGGCAGCAGATTGGTTAGGTAAGTGTCGGGAGAGGTAGCAGATTGGTTAGGTAAGTGTGGGGAGAGGCAGCAGATTGGTTAGGTAAGTGTGGGGAGAGGTAGCAGATTGGTTAGGTAAGTGGGAGGTAGAGGCAGCAGATGGGTTAGGTAACTGTATCTCAGAGAAGCAGCAGATATGGAACTGATCGGTTATTTCGTGTGGGGGGAGAGGCAATAGACTCACCAACAATGTCTGCCGGTAAGTGTGGGATACCTCAGCAACAATGTCTGTAGACACTTGATACCTCACCAACAGTCTGGTAGACACTTGATACCTCACCACAATGTCTGGTAGACACTGATACCTCACCAACAATTCGTCTGTAGCACCTCACTGACAGTTATGTAACACTGTCGTAACCAGGTAGTCTGTAGACACTTACCTTACCAACAATGTCTGTAGACACTTGCACCTCACTGACAATTCTGTAGACACGTGTACAGGAAAGGCAGGAACCTTGTGCAGTCTGGAACTGTATCTCAAGAAAAGCGGTAGACACTTGATCGCGCCAATTTCTGTGTCCGTGTGACACTTAATAACTCACCAACAATGTCTGCCGTGGGCACTTGATACCTCACCAACAATGTCTGTAGACACTTAATACCTCACCAACAATGTCTGTAGACACTTAATACCTCACCAACAATGTCTGTAGACACTTAATACCTCACCAACAATGTCTGTAGACACTTGATACCTCACCAACATTGTCTGTAGACACTTAATACCTCACCGACAGTGTCTGTAGACACTTAATACCTCACCGACATTGTCTGTAGACACTTAATACCTCACTGATAGTGTCTGTAGACACTTGATACCTCACCAACAATGTCTGTAGACACTTGATACCTCACCAACAGTGTCTGTAGACACTTGATACCTCACCAACAATGTCTGTAGACACTTGATACCTCACCGACAGTGTCTGTAGACACTTGATACCTCACCGACAGTGTCTGTAGACACTTGATACCTCACCAACATTGTCTGTAGACACTTAATACCTCACCAACAATGTCTGTAGACACTTGTTACCTCACCAACATTATCTGTAGACACTTGATACCTCACCAACAATGTCTGTAGACACTTAATACCTCACCAACATTGTCTGTAGACACTTAATACCTCACCGACATTGTCTGTAGACACTTGATACCTCACCAACAGTGTCTACACTTGATACCTAACCAACAATGTATGTAGACACTTGATACCTCACCGACAGTGTCTGTAGACACTTGATACCTCACCAACAATGTCTGTAGACACTTGATACCTCACCAACAATGTCTGTAGACACTTAATACCTCACCGACAGTGTCTGTAGACACTTGATACCTCACCAACAATGTCTGTAGACACTTAATACCTCACTGACAGTGTCTGTAGACACTTGATACCTCACCAACAATGTCTGTAGACACTTAATACCTCACCAACAATGTCTGTAGACACTTGATACCTCACCAACAATGTCTGTAGACACTTGATACCTCACCAACATTGTCTGTAGACACTTGATTACATCACTGTATAGTGTCTGTAGACAGTGTCTGTAGACACTTGATACCTCACCAACAATGTCTGTAGACACTTAATACCTCACCAACAGTGTCTGTAGACACTTGATACCTCACTGAATACACTGATGTGTGTAGACACTTGATACCTCACTGATAGTGTCTGTAGACACTTGATACCTCCCAACAATGTCAACACTTGATACACTGATTGTCTGTAGACACTTAATACTTCACCAACAATGTCTGTAGGACACTTAATACCTCACTGACAGTGTCTGTAGACACTTGATACCTCACCGACAATGTCTGTAGACACAATTAATAGACACTGATACCTAACAAACAATGTCTGTAGACACTTAATACCTCACTGACAGTGTCTGTAGACACTTGATACCTCACCAACAATGTCTGTAGACACTTGATACCTCACACAGTGACAGTTGATCCTGTATTGTAGACACTTAATACTCACCGACAGTGTCTGTAGACACGTGATACCTCACCGACAGTGTCTGTAGACACTTGATACCTCACTGACCATTGTCTGTAGACACTTAATACCTCACTGACAGTGTCTGTAGACACTTAATACCTCACTGACAGTGTCTGTAGACACTTAATACCTCACCAACATTGTCTGTAGACACTTAATACCTCACCAACATTGTCTGTAGACACTTAATACCTCACTGACAGTGTCTGTAGACACTTAATACCTCACTGACAGTGTCTGTAGACACTTAATACCTCACCAACATTGTCTGTAGACACTTAATACCTCACCAACAGTGTCTGTAGACACTTAATACCTCACCAACAATGTCTGTAGGACACTGTGTCTGTAGACACTTAATACCTCACCAACAGTGTCTGTAGACACTTAATACCTCACCAACAGTTTCTGTGGACACTTTATTGGCAGACATTCTAAACCGCAGTGTATTCAGACATTCTAAAACATGCCTTGTATTGGCAGACATTCTAAAATATGCCTTGTATTGGCAGACATTCTAAAATATGCCTTGTATTGGCAGACATTCTAAAACATGCCTTGTATTGGCAGATATTTTAAACATGCCTTGTATTGGCAGACATTCTAAAACATGCCTTGTATTGACAGACATTCTAAAACATGCCTTGTATTGGCAGACATTCTAAAAAATACCTTGTATGGACAGATATTCTAAAATATGCCTTGTATTGACAGACATTCTAAAACATGCCTTGTATTGGCAGACATTCTAAAACATGCCTTGTATTGGCAGACATTCTAAAACATGCCTTGTATTGGCAGACATTCTAAAACATGCCTTGTATTGGCAGACATTCTAAAACATGCCTTGTATTGGCAGACATTATGAAATATGCCTTGTATTGGCAGACATTCTAAAACATGCCTTGTATTGGCAGACAATCTAAAATATACCTTGTATTGACAGATATTCTAAAATTTGCCTTGTATTGACAGACATTCTAAAACATGCCTTGTATTGACAGACATTCTAAAACATGCCTTGTATTGGCAGACATTCTAAAACATGCCTTGTATTGACAGACATTCTAAAACATGCCTTGTATCGGCAGACATTCTAAAACATGCCTTGTAATATTAGCAGAGGCTATTCGGCAACTTACCCCCAGCAGACAGGACAGTTGATGAGCACAAACAAAAGCCACAGCACTGAACAAGAGGACATCTCGCAGGTGCTTCACTGGCCAGCTTGATGAAGTCAGTCCCAACCCAGGCTCTGGTCGTCTGCTGCGTGTGTGTGGCGCTTGTTCCGGCACAATCTATGCAGACAGAATGAGATCATTATCCAATCGTCTCCGCCTGACAACTGTGGTCAGATACTGACCTCTGAGGCCATCTTGTCAACTATTGTGGTCACAATCGGACCTGTCCTATCATATTGTCCTGTCGTCAACAAAGGGAAAGCGCCTGCTGTCGGGACAGTCTATACAAAGGGGGAACGAAGGGATGATTGGGGGGGGGGGGGGGGGGGTTGACTGGTCGGTGTTCATTCAATCAATCAATCAGGTGCCGTCTCCACAATGAAGGTTGGCTGCAATGGATCTCCAACAAGCCCTGTCTCTTGCCCTTGGTGTACACTCACTCATACTGCTGTTCGTCCATCTCTTGATGTTATCCTCCCACT